AACATTCAGAAAACTAAGATCATGGCATCTGGTCCCATCACTTCATGGCAAATAGATGGGAAGACAGTGGAAACAGTGTCAGACTTTATTTTGGGGGGCTCCAAAATCACTGCAGATGGTGATTGAAGCCATGAAATTAAAAGACACTTACTCCTTGGAAGGAAAGTTCTGACCAACCTAGATAGCATATTAAAAAGCAGAGACATTACTTTGCCAACAAAGGTCCATCTAGTCAAGGCTATGGTTTTTCCAGTGGTCGTGTATGGATGTGAGAGTTGGACTATAAAGAAAGCTGAGCGCTAAAAAATTGATGCTTTTGAACTATGGTGTTGGAGAAGGCTCTTGAGAGTCCCTTGGACTGCAAGGAGATCCAACCAGTCCATCCTAAAGGAGATCAGTCCTGGGTGTTCATTGAAAGGACTGATGCTGAAGCTGAAACTCCAATACTCTGGCCACCTCATGCGAAGAGTTGACTCATTGGAAAAGACCCTGATGCTGGGAGGGATTGGGGGCAGGAGGAAAAGGGGACTACAGAGGATGAGATGGCTGGTTGGCATCACTAACTCGATGGGCATGGGTTTGGGTAGACTCTGGGAGTTGGTGATGGACAGGGAGGCCTGGTGATGGACAGGGAGGCCTGGTGTACTGCGATTCATGGGGTCGCAAGTAGTCGGACACGATGGAGCGACTGAACTGAATTGATGCTTCTATGTTTCTGTGTTTACAGGTATCTATCTCACCATGGTCATCAAAATGTCTCAAAGTAGTCCCAAAGCATATGTGATAAACTAGAGGCTAAAGCTCCAATTTTGGCCGAACTCTTGGCGTATCACATTTCTAAGGCATCTTCTTCTCTTGCTACTCAGTCCTCCAGTCATTTCTTCTTGCTTCTTTATCCACCCTTCCCTCCCTATCTTCACCCTCAGCCAATTGTCAAATACCTAGTTGTTTTTTCAAGACTTGGTTTGTGTCACCTCTTCATTGGTCCCTTTCTGACTCTCCCAAGTAGGAATGGCCTGTTCTTCCAGTGTAACCACCTCCTAGAGATGTCAGTCATGACACATGCAACCCTTTTTCGCACTCACCTTAAATACTGGTCTCTCACATTAGACTGGGAATTCCTTGAAGACACGATGGTATATAATTAATATCCATATCCCCAGTACTAAGCTTAGCATCTGGCACAAAGTGACCACCCAATAGGTATTTGTGGAATAATAGTGTTTCTTCCTAGTCATATGAAATTTCAATGAGGTAGCATTCCATGGAAAAAGGCGCACTGAGATGAGCAACTATTTATAAGGCACCAGCATTCAGATGTAACCAAATATTCAAACCAAAAAAAAAAAGCAGGATTGGTGTAGGTCTGGGTTTAAAAATATTTTGATGTATGAGGTTTGTTTTGGTTGCATACATTAAGAAGCTATGTAGATTTGCTTCCAGTTAACAACTCAGCAACTGCTATGTGTTAAACACCCAGTGAGGGGAGTAGAGCAGAGTGAATAATCCATGGTTCTTGTCTCGGAGGAATTCACAATTTCACAGTCCAGTGGAGGAAACACACATACAACACAAGAGAGTAGCAAAATGTGGGGGAGATAAGTTCTGATTGGGAGATCTAGGAACTCCTTAAGGAGAGCAGGATTTAAGTAGCTATCTGAAAAATGATTAAGAGTTTGGTGGGTGAAAATTTGGAAACTAAGAACCCAGGCAGGGAGAGGCAGGAGGGAGAGAATGCCAGGTGAATACCCTCTGCAGGGTAGAGATAGATCACGGGAGCACTGGGTACCAGGAAAGGCTGTGATGAGAGATAACCATGGACAGGTTAAGGAGGCTGGGGATTTGGGATTTTATTATATTAGTAATGGGAACTCCTGGAGATTTTAGAGGATTTTCTGATTCACATTTATTTGCTCAAATTGAAATAGTTTTGATTTGATATGAAGTTTTTATTTATTTTTTAAAAAGGCAGTCAGCTCAGTGATATTCACTATTTGGCTGTTGATGAAACATTTGGATTTAAGTCTGAGAATGCTTACCGGGAGAGAAAGAAATGTGTTGAAAAAATCGGCAAAGATTTCATCCTCTAGCAGAATTATAAGATTTGTTGAACCAATTATCTCTATAAGGGAAGAAAAAAAACCCCATAAGCAGGATTGCATTTAGGATGAGAAAATGAAGCAATTGAATGGGTCATTTCACAAGGGCAAATTTCCACATGATGATGGCTTTTAAGGTCATCCAACTCAATTTCCCCTCCCTTTCCAGAACCCTCCTCTGCAACCCTGCATAAACACTACCAGCTGTGGGAAGCTTGCCACCTTACAGGGCTGCCCATTCCATTTATGAAGAAATAAAATAGTTTTTTTCATTCTGTTCATGGGGTTCTCAAGGCAAGAATACTGAAGTGGTCTGCCATTCCCTTCTCCAGTGAAACTCCAATACTTTGGCCACCTGATGGGAAGAATTGACTGATTGGAAAAGACCCTGAGGCTGGGAAAGATTGAAGGCAGGAGAAGGGGATGACAGAGGATGAGATGGTTGGATGGCATCACTGATTTGATGGACATGAGTATGAGCAAGCTCTGGGAGTTGGTGATGGACAGGGAAACCTGGAGTGTTGCAGTCCATGGGGTCGCAAAGAGTCAGACACGACTGAGCGACTGAACTGAAATTAACTGAAAATAGTTTAGTAATATCTTTCCTATTGTGAACTGCCTTCCTTTATTTTCTTTCCATTTGTTGAAATTCTGCCCTCTGAAGCTTGACCAAATTCACCTAAGTTCTCTTTTAAAGGGCAATGCTCCATATTTATAAAGACATCACAACATTTTGCTTACCTAAGCCCACTCTGGCTAGTCACTAAGCATTTCTTCAGTACTTCCTGGCGTGGCCTTCTTTCCATTTGGTTCCCCTGTCATTGGCTGGAGAGGCACCCATAATTCAAGCATTTCACATTCTTCCCAGGGAAGAGCATAAGACAACTATTGCCCATCTTCTAAGTTATACTAGTGTGGCCAGAAATGAGGTTAGCTCTGGGCACTCTCACATTACACTATTCACTCCACCATCTTTAATTTATGCAGTCACTTTACAGAAACCAAGTCAAATTTCGACTAGTTGGTTTGGGCCCAACATTAAAACTCCCAAAGAGCTTTTTTTTTGGAAAAATATTGGTTATATGACATATTTATTATTTCTCTCAAGCTTGATTATTGTGCTGCCCAAATTAATACAAGGAAAAAATGCTGACTGTCTCAAAGCCAAGCATACAGACCACTGGTGGCCTCTCTAAGTTTACTCTAATTTACCGTCTATGCTTTTTGGTGTCTAATGTTAACTAGTGAATAGTAAATTAACTGTCCTATTAATGGCCCAGCATTTTTCTATCATACTTAAAATTTACAATGAAAGACTTATAAAATGAGAAACCTAAATATTAAACACTAGACCTATCTCTCAGTCTAGCTAAATGTCTGATGAGAAGAGTGTCACTCCACTAGGGTGAAGTTACAATAATATAAGAGAACTAAGCAATTCCCTTCATTGCTTTTCCTAATGATACTCTGGTGGTTATTCTTTTCTTTATTTTTTTTTATTATTTTTTTATATTTTATTTATTTTTTATTTTTTTATATTATTTTCTTGTAATAGAGAAACCCAGACAATCAAACACTATTATAATAGAACAGATGCCAATTTTTGCCCTCTGTTCCACAGATGTCTTCTTTGCTATCTAGTGTAAATTTTTATGTTTTTCTGTCTCTCTCTTCAGTCCTCTGCACATCTTTTTATAATTCCCTGATTTATTTAATCTATTCCACATAGATAACTTAAAAATCTATGTTCTCAGTCCAGACTTCTTTCTTCGACTCTAGGTTCAGTATTCAATGAACTCTGGGATGTCTCTACATGACACCCATCAGGCACTTTCATCTCCACATTTTCAAAGCTGATCTGATAGTTTTTTTTCCCAACCTGCTCCTTTTCCTGTATTCCCAGTCTCAGTTACTGGAACCACCATCCAACTGTCTGAACCAGAAACCTGAAAATCATCTTTGATTTCTCTTGCTCTCTGTTTTACTCTCAATACTCCCACATGCAGTGGAGCGGCATGTGCTTTCTCCTCTTATGTTCTATGGCATCTATTCTTGCATCTCCATCCATAAAAAGCCACTTTCTTATTTCAGGCCTCTATCATTTCTCATCTAGACTGTTACATCAGTTTCTTCAAATGTTCTTGCTATTTCTAATCACTGCCACCATATTATTGTTAAAACTCTTCAGCAATTCTTCATTGTCCTACAAGAAGACGACTAAATTCCTTAGTACAGTATCTGAGGCTTCACCCAATCTGGTTTTTGTGTTCCTTCCAAGCCTCACCTGGGAGGCTCCACTCCATGTTACCTCCTGTTGACCTGCCAACATACTGCTCTTTCCTGCACAAGCTATGCACTCTCACATCCAACCTCTGTATCTTTGTTCCCACATTTCCATCCCCTGAAACATCCTCTCAACCCCAGGCTGCTTCGCAAATTGTTATCTATCAAGAAATGGTTTACATGTAATCTCCCTGGTGAACCAAGAATGGCAGAATGTACCACAATAGTAAAATTGATCACTACTCCCTGTCACCTCACATGGTCATGTACAACTTCCATCACAACAATCAACAAGTCATTGTTTTCACTCACTGATACATGTATCTTCCTCACCAGACTGAGCTCTCCATGAGAGGAAAGACTTCTGTCTGTTCATTGTTTTTCCTCTAGACACTAACTGTTTGCAAAGTGTTCTGTAGTGTTGAGTGAATTGTTCTTTCAAGAGATCTTCAATTTTTTGGACTTTTGTTCACTTGTTTGTCATTCATAAAGCCTGGTATGGATTTGTTGAACAGACTATTGAGAGGATCTGACCGCAGGAAAGTGATGTTTGGAAGAAACTTCTCCATCGATTGTTTTTGTAGCCACACACACACTGATGGTGACGAGGGGCTGGACTGTGACAGAGCTTGGCATTAACAATACAGTCTCCATGGGGTGTAGGAAAAAGGTTGTCCATATACTCCCCGTCCCCATCCTATTTCTGCATTCCTGTTTCTCCATTCTTACCTGTTCTGCCTTCAAACTTCAGAATAATCTGAGGCTTTCAACATTCATCCTATACAATAGTGATGCTGATTTGGTAATAAATAAATTGTTGGATAACCCCAAACCTTGTGCCAGCCTTCTCCCTGGAGGAGGTATGACACGCAATGACTGATAGGCATGTTAATTCTTCCCTCTTAGGTATTCCTTCTAGTTGCCTTGGTTGTGTTATCAGTGGGACCCTATCTGATCCTCAAAGATCTGATGGCATGAGTTGGGGGAAGGGGAAGAGAGAGAAGAATAACACAGAGTCTACATGTAGTGTCCCTGACTGACTCATTCCTGTTAACACTGCGAAGGTGAGTGGTTTGCCTTACTTGGGGTGCTCAAAGCTGCTGAGACATCCCTCTCAGAGACTCACCAGCATTGCTCATGTTGCCTTGCTCTTCCTGCTACTGTGATTATTTAGGAGCAGAATCAGCCCCCAGTCAACAGAACCCTGCCCCTTATGAGTGCACAGTGACACCTCCTGCTAGGGGTTCCAGATTCTATACCTCTGGTATAGAACTCAATCTGAAGATAAATCTTATTTAACTGAGCTCCTGAATTCCCTTAAGTATACAGACTCTTTCTACGCCTAGGGTTTTAGTCCATACTATTCGATGTGCATTGACAGTTTCCTTTTAATTATTGTCTAATTATAGATCCTGAGTTGAAGTTCTGTCTCTTGAACTTGACTTCATTATTTGAGGGAGTAGGAATCTGTTAACTTCTGATGTGTCTTTTGGATCTAATATCCTTCTAGAAATTTAACTGGTATTCAATGAATATTTAATGATTTGACTCTCAGATAAGCTGGAAAATTCAACCTAATATCCATGCTGTTTTCTACCCCTTCTCTTCTTTTCCAGATAGCTTCCTCTGGTTGGTTGTGGGTTTGAAAAGAGATTGAACAAACATTAGCTTTCATGTAGGAGAATTAGACTAGGTGTTTGTACTTTATTCTCATTCAGTTCTTAGTCATGCAAAATAGGGATTATCATCACCTCCTTTTCAATGCATAATAGTAAATGCAACACTGAGATTGGACTCTGCCTATCTGATTCAAGAGCTTGTGTTATTTCAAATATGCCAGTAAATCAAACCTTCCTTTCACATGAAAAACATACTTTAATGGGGTTAGAAATAACTCTCCTGGACTTTCCCACAATAATGTATTTTTCTATGTAATTTCTTCCACTACTTTTATGTATATCCTTATATGTTTAATTAGGCTTTCCCACAGATGTTATAAAGTAAGATATAAAGAATATCTGTATGGAAAGGAGCTACTTAGAAAAAGGTATCCCGCATATCTAAGAAATTAACCGTAAGATTGAAACAAAGCTATTCAACATTTTCTCAAATCACAGCATACAAATGAACTGGAGATTTTCTGTGACCAGTTTTGACCAAGAATGTTCTATTCCTGACCAATTCCTCATTTGTTTAGGCCAATTACTCCAAGAAAACAGAGGTATGAAAGAGGCAATCTGGGAAAGAAGTTATAATTCTTTCGTTTTAATTTTTCTCAGGATGGTATGTGTGTGTTTAGTCTCTCAGTTGTGTCCAACTCTTTGTGACCCCATGGACTGTAGCCCACCAAGCTCCTCTGCTCATGGGGATTCTCCAGGCAAGAATACTGGAGTGGGTTGCCATGCCCTCCTCCAGGGGATCTTCCAAACCCAGGGATCGAACCCAGGTCTCCTGAACTGCAGGCAGATTCTTTACCAACTGAGACATCAGGGAAACCCAAGGATGGTATAAATGGTATAATGTTTTTTCAATGGTAAACTGGGCCAGGCCTACTTCTGGGGTCATGAGCAACTCAAAGACAAGAGCAGAAAGTTTTTTGTCCACATGGAAAGAGTCTTAGAGATGAAGAACAATATTAAATGATGAGAAAATAGAAGTTTCTAACATATTCCCAATGTACCAAGGTCTAAAACGTTTGTCACAAGTTGGAGATTTGGAACTCAGCATAGTTTTACTCACAGAGAACAACTTGTTGTAAGACAAGTGTTCAGAATATCTTAATGTGGAAATTAACTTTTGTTACTTATTTTTTATTGCCTTCAAATGGGTTTGAAGACTAAGCTCATGTTCACTTGAAGGAGAGGCAAATCATTTTGAGAAGTCCCAGCTTTGGGTCTGATTTGCCACATTTAGATCCCTCCTCACACTGTCCTGGGATACACATAAATTAGCCCAAAGAGGATCTTGAACACCAAAGGGGTCAAGAATAAGTGCATTGATTACGCTTTTGTGGAGTTTTGTTTTGGTCAATCAGTCTCTGACCATTCTCCTTATTTAAAATGAAAAATTGTGTGAGTCTTGGAGGGACTGTCTCCCATTATAAATGCCTCAGGGACCAGACAGCACTTTGGCTGTCCTGGCACCTAAGACTTGGACACCTGTCCTAGATTCAGCAATCAGATCCTCCATCCAGAACTTTTCATTTTTAAGGGGTGACTCAAAGACTCAGGGGCAAGGAGAGATAATGCCTGGTGGTGCCTATGACAGCAAACACTCACTGGTGATGGTGCCAGCAGTAGTGGCAGACTGGAGATGGTCACAAAGGCTGGAAGAAGATGCTGTGGTTGCAGATTAGCTTTGATTTTGTTGGAGCAAAAACAGAAATGAGTGAATGGCCTTTGGCACATACCAACCAAACAGGCCTGCAAGAGTTAAACAATCTTGGTTATTCTTTAGCTGTTACTGCTGATAAACACTTGTAACTAGACATGTCCTTCACAAAGCTTCACAAAGCTAATTACTCTCTGATTCCATATAGATTATACTCTGCACCTGGCATTCTTCTCCCCCTACACTCTCTTCTAGCATTCTGCATTTCAGAAAGAAGGTCAAGGGCCAATAACTTCAGGCATAGTTGCTGAGTTGCCTGATGCTAGCTGTGGTCATTTTGAAACTTTGCAGGAGAAAAAAAATGCAAGACCTTCATAAGGATATAAAACCTTTCCCTATTCCTGAGAGATGGGGGGCACAGTTATTGAGGTACTAGCCTGTTGTGTTTCAGTTTTGCCTGGCAAAAATAATAAAGATACTCTTTTCTATTTCCTCCAAATTCTGTCTCTGTATTTCTATTTGGCATCAGTGGACTGGGAGCCAAGATTTTGGCAACAATTTTAATGGGAGGTGCTGCTAACCACCAAAGATAAAGTATATGTTGATATCATAATAGTAACTATGGGGACTTTCCTGGTGGTCCAGTGGCTAAGACTCTACTCCCAGTATAGGGGCTCTAGTTTGATCCCTGGTCAGGGGACTAGATCCCACATGCCACAACTAGGAGTTTGCATGCCAAAACTAAAGATCCTATATGCTGCAATGAAGATTGAAGATCCTGTGTGCCACACTAGAACCCAGCACAGCCAAATAAATAAACAAAATAGTAGTAGCTATGGCATATGGATATCAGAATGATCCACCCACAGGTTCTTGGTGATGGCTACTGATTATAGAGTCCTTTGGAAAAAGATATGTGGCAACTTGCTCAAATTCTAGTTGAGAACATAAACTCCACGGTGGCAGGAACTTTTTTTATTGTTTTATTTAATGATGCATCCCAAACATCTAGAGCAGTTTCACATGGAAGTGCTCAAATATTTGAGTGAAAGAAATAATGTGAATACGAACTAAAAATGAGCTGTCCTGTAGAATTCTAGACCCCTCATCCAATTTTCAATCCTGAATTCAGACCTAGAAGCTCTTAAATAAAAGAAAGTATTTTGCCCTTTAGGAAGAACCTTGCATTATCTTTCCAAGTATTCACTGAGTCCCTTCCAAACTTTCGTCAAAGAGATCACTGGAGTAAAGTAGATGCCCAGAGCTTTGGGAAATCATTGTTAAGCTGGATCTGATCCAACACACAGCTGGGAAGTGTTAGAGCTGAGATGCGAACTCAGGTATAGTTTTTAAAAAACAATCTATTTTATATTTGCCTGATAATAATAACCATCTGGGAAGTTGTAAAATATACAAAACTCTTGTGCCTCACCCAGGCTTTTCTACCAGAGCAGGGACCTGGTAATATATGTGTTTAATGAATACCTTGGGTGATTCTTATCATTACACAACTTGGGGAGACATCTGACACCTTTTTACTTGGGGAATTCTAAGGTCTTGAAAGGGTCAGGAATCTAACTGCACGTAATTCATTGTTGGCTTTCAGTCCTTGCTATTACTGGGGTGACACACTCTATTTGGTTGCTAGTAGCTCCAGCAGTCAGCCTCCTTGAGCTGCAGGGAAGACAGTAGGGCAGTGATCCGGAGTAGAGAGTGGCTTTACATAGCTTTATTGAAGACAAGTCTAAAAGCATAGTGTCTTAAGGAATGTGGGTACAGATCAGTGCTGAATAGGCCAGTCTTTTAGGAAGAGAGCTAAAAGAATTTCTTTTGCCCAGGTTATGCTAGCTCTTTTCCAAAGAAGTGATAATCTAAGGAATAAATGTGATTATTAAACTATCAAGAGTTCACCCTGAATTCTCTTGAGTGGGCATGTATACCTGTTAAACTGATTAATAAATGAGGTAACTGATGATTGAAGAAACATGGTAGGCTACAACCATCTTGGAATACATAAAACATCAAGAAACACATGCAAACATACTTTTAAAAAAGGTGTGCTATTTTGTGAATGTTGTTTTTTACATAATAAAATGCTAAATTTTTGTTTTGTATTTATTTAAAAGTCTGACATTAAATTTACAAGAGCCTTTTAAGGTTCTTAGGAGAATTTTCTTTGTTAGGTTTATAAATCTACCTTGTATTTAAATTTTTTTTGAAATCATATTTTCAACTCAAAATATGAAATGTCTAAGAAATTTTAGTTAACAAAATATGGAAGTGGTATCTGTTTAGGAAAATTTATCCAAAGTATGATTTTATTGAAAAATGAGGAACAAGTAAAAGCAATTTAAAGTAAAATATTTATAAGTAATTTTGTATGCCAAGTTTAAAAGTTTACTAATTAGTTTATTAAATATGTACCATAAAATATTGAATATTGATTATGACACAAGCAATACCAAACATTTTGTTCTTGTTGGCATCATGCTCCCTTCTAACAGCCTATTAATAACTTTCTGCCTTTAACCTGAAAAGCAAATTATCAAGCTTTCCATAAAACAATTTGCAGGGTTCTTCCTTAACTACCTTTCTTAGGTGGGGCAGGAACTCAGTAGTTTTCTCTGGTACTATTGGGCCATGAAATTCCATCACTGGAACTGTACCACCAGGCTTATGAGTACAGTAATGTACCACCTCAGCATGCCTGCCCTG